CTCAAGCCTGGTCAAAAAATATGAAGTCGACCATTGCTGCCAGAGTCCCAGTGGGCTATACTCCCTCTTTATTCTCAAACTGAAAAGGTAACCTATTATGTGGGCCAACATTCTGTATCCCATATCTCGTCTCTTGTTTTGTACCAGTTGAGACTGATTGGCACTAATTATCACATCTGTCTGTGACATAGCTAAGCATAAGTAGCTGCTCAGATGCCCGTATGTGCCCCAAGACTACCCCAGTGAGTGCCTTTCCAGAGCACATAAAACTAAAATGCTTCATAAAGTTCTGGAATTTTCGCTTTATCCATGTATGTTTTAGAAGCTAGTGGAAAGCAAGTTTCTAAGATGTAGAATGGCTTCTTTCATTATGTGAAACAAGTCTCGCTGATTTTAGGAGTAAAACTACTACAACCAGAAAAATGAGGGTGGAAGAGAACAAAAAGGATTTTCATATGAATGAGGAAAGTGAGGCTTTTGCATAATTTTAATGGAAAAAGGATTAAGTGGTTGGAAATAAACAAAAAGTACAAAAGAAGAATAAAATACATACAGCGCTGGTTCGCCTAAGCACACGACCACTGCGGTCCCCAGGAGACATTAAAAGAGCTCTGGTTCTCTAAGGACTCAGGTCCCCTGAGGACTTGCCAACAGTTTTGAATGAAATCTCTCTGGGGCCCGTAGTCATATGGGAAAGAATTTTACTAGAAGCAGCCTCGTGGTTTTCTGAGTAGCACAGTCAGCAGTCCCCCGCAGAGCAGAATTTGATGGGGTGGTAGGCATTGCACCTTGTGCACACACATCAACTGCTTTGTGTTGCAGGATGAGGGAATCCAATAAATAGCCCTTCCTGCTCGCCTGAGTTCTGAACCAACTGAGACAGAGTTGATTGTGACTAAAAAGACTAATAATGGAGAATGTGGCAAAGATACACAAAGGATTGGCCGAGGCTGAATCTCACTCTAATCCTGTGCAGGACAGACACCTGAGGCCTCCCTCTCCATGGGGCTGGGTGGGGGCTGACTCTGTCTCTAGCAAACATATTTCCTGGAGGTGCAGTCCAGGCAGCGTACAGTGCAGGCAAACAGGGCTGAGGAGGTGGGAGGGCCAGGGCTGAGCATTATAGCCAGGCTCAGCTCCCAAATTTCAAACACTCCTTTTTCCTTTCCTAGGGAAGAGGGAGTGAGGACTACAGGCGAGGCAAGGAGTGGTTCTGCTACTGAGTGACCCTCCATGGGGAAAGGTGAAGCCAGAAAACAGAGTGTGCTGACGTTGCACTAAGACTTGCTTTTCAAGATGTGAATGTACTCGATCCTGTATGGTCATTTGACTTGATCCCCAATGGTCATTTGACTGCAGCATAGTCTACAAGAAGTTCTGTACTTGGAGACTAGGTGTATTAGTCTGTTCTCACACTGCTAATAAAGTCGTACCTGAGACTGGCTAATTTAAAAAGGAAAGAGTTTTAATTGACTCAAAGTTCTGCAGGGCTGGGGAGGCCACAGGAAACTTACATTCATGGCGGAAGGGAAAGCAAACACATCCTTCTTCACATGGTGGCCTCAAGGAGGAGTGCCGAGCAAAAGGGGGAAGAGCCCCTTATAAAACCATCAGATCGGCTGGGCATGGTGGTTCATGCCTGTAATCCCAGCACTTTGGGAGGCTGGGGCAGGCAGATTACCTGAGGTCAGGAGTTCAAGATCAGCCTGGCCAACATGGTGAAACCCCGTCTTTACTAAAAATACAAAAATTAGCTGGGCGTGGTGGCACATGCCTATAATCCCAGCTACTCAAGAGGCTGAGGCAAGAGAATTGCTTGAGCCTGGGAGGCAGAGGTTGCAGTGAGCCGAGATCATGCCACTGTACTCCAGCCTGGCCAAAAGAGCAAGACTCTGTCTAAAAAAATAAAAATAAAAAAAATAAATAAATCAGATCTCGTGCGAACTCACTCACTATTACGAAAATAGCATGAGGGTAACTGCCTCCGTGGTTAAATTACCTCCCACCAGGTTCCTCCCACAACACATGGGGATTGTGGGAACCATAATTCAAGATGAGATTTGAGTGGGGACACAGCGAAACCATATTACTAGGGATTTCTAGTCCCAGCTGTAGGACTTCCTGGCATGTGGCCTCTGCCAAGTCATTCTCTGAGCCTCTGTCTCATTTGTAAATCAGGGATAAATAATGCCTTCCTAGATGGATAAGATTGTTTAAGAAAATCAGCAGTGTGGCCCAGCATGGTGGCTCACATCTGTAATGCTAGCACTTTGGGAGGCCGATGCAGGTAGATTACCCAAGGTGAGGAGTTCAAGACCACCCTGGGCAACATGACAAAACCCCATCTGTACTGAAACACAAAAAAATGTAGCCTGGCATGGTGGCATGTGCCTATAGTCCAAGCTACTCAGGAGGCCGAGGCGTGAGAATGGCTTGAACCCTGTAGGTGGAGGTTGCAGTGAGCTGAGATTGTGCCACTGTACTCCAGCCTGGGCGACAGAGCAAGACTCAGTCTCCAAAAAAAGTGTATAGATATATGTGTGTGTGTGTGTGTGTGTGTGTGTGTGTGTGTGTGTGTGTGTATGTATATCAGGGGTGAATATTAGTGCAGACTGCAAGACTCTGTACAAAGATAAGATTTTGTGGTTATTATCTGTGATATGATAGGCATTGTTTGCCCTTGGACTGAAAGAAAACACCTTGGCCCAATAAGGGGATAGAAAAATAAAAGCAAGCACAAAAGAAAAAAGTTTAAAGTATGGAAAGCCAACTCTACCTCTAGCTATTTTGACAGGAAACCTGGGATCAAGTCCTTTGCCCTAGTCCCTAGTCACACTTGGGATCAGTCACCTTGAATTGAGCCACCTCCCCTCTGAGACCACACCCAGATTTTGCCTCTAGGTCAACAGCTATTTGCTCTCAAATAAGGGAAGTAGAAAAACTGTATCCTAAACAGAACTGGGGCCAATAGAAAGAATTTAACTTTTTACAAACCTGTAAATTTTTTTTTTTTTAAGGACAAAAGGCAAATGAGTCCATTTTTTAGTTTCGTCCCAAGATAAGCTCTACGACCTAAAGAGGCGCTTTTAAGCAGTTCTTTAGAATTGACAACAGGCCTGGGAATGCAGAGGAGAAAAGGCTACCTTGTTCTGTAGAAACACGAAAGGCAGGTCATACTGTAGTCTCCAAGGGGACAGTAAGCTGGGCTTTGTTCTTTTATTCTAGGTAAGAAGTTAGAGGCCCAGAGACATTAAATTGTGTAGCTATTTTCATTACTTTTTCTTTCCCTCCTTTTTTTTTTTTTTTTTTTTTTTCCTGCCACAGGAATAAAAAGTTTTTCTTCTTACACAATTTTGTTCTTGACAGTTGAATCAGAGAAAATGTATGGCAGCCATGTGACATTTATTTATGGTAATGAAATGGATTCCCATGATGTAACCTCCTTGCCTGCCAGGCGTTAATGGGCTCCCAAGTCACACCTAGGACATTGAAGTGGCGGAGCAGAAGCATGGTGTCACCAAGGTGAAGGGACCTTCAGAAGCATTTCCTACATGCATGAATACCTTGGAAAAACCTCAGATCCTCAGTAGACACACTTCCAATTTCAGCATGATTTAGCAGTTTATAAAAGCATCTTACCTCTTCCACCAACAGAGGTTTACTTTAAGCTTCATTTCAAGCCTTTTATAGGTAATGCTCCATCAGCCTCTCAGTGCTGCAGTGGCTGATAAATTCTGATGAGGCATTTTATGTGATGGCATGACACTTTTGGTAACAGGAGTTCTTTCTCTGCAAAACTTCATCTAAAATGAACATGAACAGACTTGAGCGCTCAGGCAGTTCTCCGGTGTGCTTACGGCTGTTGACGTGCGGCCTGTCATCCCTCCTCCTGCCTTTCTGTGTGTCGGATTGAAGCTCTGAAACAGCCTGTAAACATCCCGTGTGGACCGCAGGCTTTTATGCCTGTTTCTGTTGGGTCTCCTGTTTAATCTCGACTTTGTATTTTTTTATATGTACATAGAGACAGGGTCTGGCTATGTTTCCCTGGCTTGTCTTGAACTCCTGCCTCAAGCGATCGTCCTGCCTCAGCCTCCCACCGTGGCTTTGTGTGTTTGCTCTTTGGCATTTCCATCCTTCCCGTGGGCACTCCAAAGCAGGGGCAAGTGGCTCTTTCATTGCAAATATTTAAGTCGGGGGAACTCTGTATCAAAGGGGCACTCCCACGTGTGCACTGAGGACCACGCTCCCTGCTTTCACTCACAACAGCCCCCATGCCATGACTGTTCACCAGCAGCTGCAGCAGCAGCCCGAAGGACAGGGGATTCCATCCACAGAGGTCCGGCCCAGTGTCTTCAGAATGGACAGCCCCCTTGTAAGAGGTGACAGGGAGAGCCTTGCATGCTCCTCCTGCCCACTGACCCTGCCAGCCCCTTCTCTCAGCCTCCTGCCCACAAATCAGAGCTGAGCGACAAAGATGCACATCCTGCACAGAGCTTCGGATAGAGCAGGGGCAGTGGACATGCGGCTGCCCCAGGCTGTCCTGTGCTGACATAGTGAGTGCTGTCATGTGCCCAGCACATCGCATGCCCAGCACAGCACCTCCTCAGGGTGGCCTTGTCTCTAGCTCTGTGCAGCCGTCAGCACAATGGCCTGCCCATAGTGCCTGGGAGCACTTGAGATGGGAGACTCATGTTTCGGGGGCACCAGGATGGAGAGGATTGAAGGAGGTTGCAGGGTGCCAGGGCTGAGGACACAGCCCTGGGGCATGTGTGGATGAAGGGGCACCTGTCTTCACATTCAGCCCTTGGTGGGCTCTTACAAGCACTTCTCCTTCTGCAAAAATTTGATGAAATATCAAAAAGGCATGGGCATATTTACTTTATTTTTAATTAGAGCTCTTTCAGGATTGTCCAGGGAAGTGCGTTCGTTACTTAAAGTTTTGAGATTTCCTTGATCATTAATCTCCCACCAATTCAACAACCCCCAAGCTCTTCACCTACCTGGGACTTTGGAGCTCTCCACTTTTCACTGAGTCTCTGCCTCTGCAGCTGTCAGCCTCCTTCCAGCGGGCCTGTCCTCCAGGAAAAAAGCAGGAAAATAAAAGCAAATGAAGATAGCTTTGCATAAAACCTGGGATTATTTCAATGCAGTATGTTTGATGATGCTCAAATAGAGTTGTACGGCAAATTATTGACAAATGCCTACATACCAAGGTCCTTGTAATAGAGATTGCCTCTCGCACAAATGGGGGCTGAGGAAGGCACCTGAGAGAGGATTCGGGTTTATTAGGATTTGTTGTAATCAGACTAACAAAGCATTTTCGCTGTGGGCCATCTGTCAGCACATGTAAATAGGCTCATTTTATAAGACCAGATGTTCTAACAGTATTCATTTGAACAGGAGTCTACCTGTTCTTTCATTATAGTCAGTTATGGAGAGAAGTGATTCTACTATATTCCAAAATGATTTCTCTTTGGCTTTTAAATTTTTCTGGTTGATGTTTTTTGTTTGTTTGCACCTTATTTACAGCATACAGAGGAAAAGAGATCTGGATTAGAAACCAGAAATCTACTCTCTTTTTTCTACTTCACCACTAAGGAATTTGGGGTTTGGTAAATTATCAACTATCACTGGCCATGGTGTCTCCAATAAGGAGGTCAGACAAAATGATTCCCAAGGATTCTGCCAGCTCCTAAGTCCCCTGTTTTAATTACAGCCCTGAGGAAGGAGCATCGGCCTCACCGTCTGCCCACCTCAGCATCACTCTCCGGGCCTCAGGTTCTTCGGGGCAAGAACAGGGATACTATGCAAAACCCACAGCTTGCTCTAGGGAGAAGACATAGAGAAGTTCTGAGGATAATGCCAGCCACTCAGCAGATCCTTAACACTTCTCTTTCTTTCTCTCAATTGTGAAACAGTATTTTAAAAGGGAAAGTACTCATATTTGTTGATTGGTTTGACTTTTTTGAGTTCTTATGACCTGCTTGAAGCATACTAATATGGAGGGCAGCCTATGATGAACAAATTCGAAATCGATGAGGCCCGAGACAGAGCATCGCCAGGTAAATTCCACAGCTCTTCTCTCCCGGGAAGACCAGCCCCAAAGGATGGCGAGCCCGCCTCAGCTTCTTCCATCCTTCTGTCCAGATGATCCCCAGCTCTCCCTGAGTCCTCGTGCCTGTTCTTGGGGTGAGTTGAGTAGAAATTAAGAGTGCTATTGACCAGTTAGGCTTTGGAAATACCCTAGTGCTTACTAGCTGTGTGATCTGCAGCAAGTTGCTTGACTTTTCTAAGAATGCACTTGTCTGTAAGATGGGGATACTTGGGATTGAGTGAGTTGCTGCAGGTCAGTGCTGAACCCATTCCACTGTATACAGGAAGCTCGGAGCACCGTCTGCCTATGGAAAGGTCCCACTCAGCCTGAGAAGGCCCTCCCACTGCCCTGCTGCAGGCCTTCACGGGGACTGAGCCCATTTGCGGGGAAGCTCACCAGGAGTGTCTGCTGTTCTTTTTATTCAGCTCACCCAGATCTTGTGGTTACAGACCGATGAGAGGATGTGCTTTCTGTCTCTGACAACACTGCCTTGCCACAGGCATCCGTTTCTCCAATGCGACTCACCTATGGGACAGAACCCATTCCCATCAGTAACGATGACTCACAGTCTTAGGAGTCCCAAACATTCCTGGGGTTTTAGGGGGTGGGGGATCTGTGTGTGTGTGTGTGTGTGTGTGTGTGTAAGTTTTCCATTTGGTTAAGCCCCCTCCTCATGTGATGTACACACATAGACACATTTTTAGCACCCAGCTTTAGCCCATAATCATTTTAATTCATTTGACAGGAGACCTTTTGGACAGAGGCCCCTCCCATTCTCACGCTGTATGAACAGCTGCCTGGCACCTGCATCTTAGTCCCCTGTTAGAAAAATCGAGTGGAATGATTCTGTCAACTGGATGGGGTCACATAGGCAGGACACTGAGCGCTTTAATTAAATTATGGCAGTTTCAGGAAACCGAAAACAACTCTGAAGTGGCAAGAAAGCACTTTTCTTTCTTTAGAAGATTCATGGGCAACAGAGGAGAGCAGTGCTCCTGGCCTTGCAGTATCTCAGATTCTTTTAACTGTGCCATGCTATCTTATTCCACCAGGAATATTTAATATCCACAGTATGATATGGCTTTTACAAAATCCTCGTGATATTCTTTGCAACTGTCTACAGTGTCTGTTTAAAAGTCAATAATGTTAACTTGTTTGATAAATTTCTACAGATCCCAACCCTATTAAGCTGTTAACTGAATGCACCTGACTTTTAACAGATGTCTTAAGGATTCAATGTTGCTGAGGGGAATATAGTATGAATTGAAGTACACTCTTTGGAACATTGTATTTTTAGGCATAACATCCTCAATTGGAAGGAATGTAAAACCACAGTATGATACACTGGAACCATGATTGCAGACTTGCAATGTATTTAGTAGAGAAATTTATTTGGCAATCAGAAAACAAAGAAAACCAACTAAATTATCTCATTTGGGAGTGTATGTGTGTGTGTGCAGTCACACGTACGCACAAGTACACATGCATTTATTTCTGAAGTGTATTTCATACCTTTATGTTTTCCAGGACAAGTATTTCTGTTTTAATTTTTATTGCACCAAATGAATACAGTATTGTTTGTACAGCAAAGCCTGGAATAAAAACTTAATTAAATAATCATAGGTCTTACAGAGAGAGACAATGGTCTGAAAAGCTTCTGATATGGTTTGACTGTGTCCCCACCCAAATCTCATCTTGAATTGTAGTTCCTATTATCCCCATGTGTCATGGGAGGTAACTGAATCATGGGAGTGTTTACCTCCATGCTATTCTCATGATAGTGAGTGAGTTCTCAGGAGATTTGGTTTTATAAGGGGTATCCCTCCTTTGCTCTGTACTTCTCCTTGCTGCCTCCATGTGAAGAAGGACATGTTTGCTTCCCCTTCTGTCATGATTGTAAGTTTCCTGAGGCCTCCCCAGTGCTGTGGAGCCTTGAATCAATTGAATCTCTTTCCTTTATAAATTATCCAGTCTCGGGCATGTCTTTATTAGCAACGTGATAATGGACTAATACAGAATATTTAGAAGCAGATACATTTTTCAGACAAGTGGATTTATTTTGACTTCTATTATTTCAAAATGTCACTAAAAACTAAAGGGAAACTATTTTTTTTCTAATTTCATATTAAAGTAAAACAGTAAGATCCAATGAATCACGATGCAATTTCACCCAAATGTCATATTAAGTAAAAGACTAGATAACATTTTGGCATTTACACTATAGTTACAGGTATTTTACAAGATGCTCACAGATGCCTGTGTCTGCCTGGGTTGCCTTTTATGGGTTTTTTCTCAAGTAAATCCTAGAAGAACCCATGCAATTAAGGACGATTCTTACCACAGCTTTTGTAACCTTAGGCCCCATCTATGCTAATGAACAAAAATGTGTGACGCTACGACTATCATTAAAACTAAAAAGAAAATTTGAAAAATATAAATAAGACCTCTCTGCCATGTTGAGCCATGAGTCATCAATTCCACTGGAAAGTCTCTTTTAATTGGAAACAGGAGCTACTCTCTGACATTGGTGTACAGTCTTGGTTTGGTTTATTTTAATGCAGTTTGAATGCTGAAGCTATCAATTTGCACAGACCATTTTAATGTACAGCTGGGGGGAAAAGAACTCAACAGGAAATAGTTAACAACTTACACTTTTTTTATTAGTTTTTCTTCCCGGATACGTTCTACAGTCCTAAATGGGATAAATTGGGTAAGAATGCATGTCAGGATATGTTTTTATTTTAGTGGTTGTGTTTAGCTATTGCAAATTCCCAATGGATAAAAAGCCCTGAGGAATTACTCTGTGTGTGTGTGTGTGTGTGTGTGTGTGTGTGTGTCTGTCTGTCTGGGTGTGTGTGCACCTGTAGCAACTGCATATAGAAAATGAAATAGAAATGCAAGAAGAGGAGGATATTCCTCTAACTACAGATAGCAAGACATTTCAAAAAGCATTTTTATCTCCCCATTGAATGAAAACTGTCCAATAAATTCCTCATAGCCTGAAGTCATCCTCATATTATAATGGATACATTTTTAAATAAATAAGATGCCTTCATGCCATAGGAAATTATTTTTCCAGATTATTTTATTTTCTATTTGCACTCATTGCTTTTGAGGACCTGTGATATTTGTGCCATGGATTTATTGCACCTGTCACTTGGCACTTTGCCTAAAACATGTGGCAAAGCTACTCTTCTCCTGTCTTGTCTCTTACCAGTCTGACTGAGCTACTTGTGAGTCTTGTATGATTTACTGGTACTCTAGTGTATTGCGGGTCTTGTAGAACTTACTGGTACTCTAGTGCTTTGCAGATGTTAAATGCTTGATAAAGAATTTGTTTCCTTTACAACCACCAGGAAACTATTTCTCAGAAAAAAATTCTACCTGTGGAATCCCACTATGTTGAAGGCTTTCAATAAGCACTAGCTCATGCGTGGCACATGGTGGGCTCTCCTGTCTGCTACGGCCGAGTCATTCTGATGTTCTCACCCCCACTGAACCATTGCTTGGCTCCCACCCTCTCTTCCTCTTCCATGTCTGTGGCTGGAAGCACAAAGTTCCAAGAGGGTAGCAGGAGCAGCCTGCCTAGAAAGCGTGGCCCCAGCCTGCTGGGGTATGCAAACAGTCCTTAAAGGATTGTTTTTGTCTGTATCCTATTTTGTCTGTGACTAACATTTTGGAAGAAAACAATCTTTGTGTTTAGACACTCGAACTTGCTGTGTCACGTGGTTCTCTTCCAAGTGGTTGACTGTTGCTGTGTGGTCTTTTACAAGCCCTTTGCTGGCACAGAGCCACATGTTGTTTTTGATTCGCCACTGCATCTCTCCCCGAATGCCTAGTCTAGGCCCCTTGATATGGTAGGGAGCAAACATCTTCACTGATGATGATGATGATGATGACAAGAGAGAACCGTGGGTGCCTGCTGAGAGAGTCGTCAGTGAGCGCCATAACTTAAAGATGATGAATTTGTGAAAGTGTGAATTTGACTCTAGTCAATGGCAACACACTGGTACTTCTGAAACGGCTTTAAAAGACATTGTAAAACAATGTAATTCTTGGATGTACAGGAAGATTTAAGATACTCTCTGCTTTTGGAAACTCATTAAATAAATTTGATTTATTTAATTAATTTCAGTTCTGAAATTTTTTTATGATGATAGTATAAACTATGTCAGTGGTAACTTCCCTTTACTGGGGACATACCATGTGTGCGACCCAAGTGCGAGTTACTTCAAAACATCTCATCTACGGCTCTACAAGGAAGCTGAGCCTCAGAGAGGTGCACTGATTGGCCGTGTTTTCAAACAAGGGAGTTATTGGTGGGTGCCCAGCAGTGCCTTGGGTAGATGGTAGGTGTTGTCAGACCTTCAGATCTCAATTTTTCAGACCCTAAAGGCTCTGCTTTCATATTACGTTACAAGTTTCCCAAGGAAGAGTGGAACTTACTCTAGTACGCAGTAAAAAGATATGCCTTTTCAGGGTGAAATTCAATCAAATTGAAAATTGAAAAGGCTTCTGTTATTATGATACCACGGGTGACTAAGCACAATGAACGCTATGTGAGCTCATTGACACAGCTCCTCTCAGAGTGCACCAAAGCTTGTGAACTCCTTCAGTGAAAAACCTGAAAGCATTTCACAAACCCTTAAGCTGGAGACTCGGACCTGGCGCTATTGTCACAGAGTGGAAGCAGAGTGCCTTTGAAAGGGGTTGTCAACAAAGCTTTTATCAGCATTAGCAAATCACAGAGATGTGGGTCACTAGGTAACCACTGTCGCCCCAAG